TTTGGTGTCCTCTAGGGAGGCACCATGGTGGGAAACAAAGTATCTGAAAAATATAATTTCAAGGGAGATCTCAAATATATTTGAATATTAAAAAATAAAAAGGTTATTCAAGAAAGTCCCTCATATAATATCTCTTAGAATCAGCAAGATTTCAGGTATGCTGTATTGGTGACTTCAGGGGTAGCTGTGTATAAATTGACAGTAAATCTTATATCCAATAAAACTTCAATAACCCAGGTATTGTAATCATATCAAAATTCTAATACTGTCTTCTTTGCCAGAGCTTGCTGAAGAATGATTCCCTTATCTCTTTGGTTCAAAGGACATTGCAGACTTCACTTTGTTGGCAAACACCTGCATTGGCCTAGGGAAGCAGAAGGAACTGGGCAGTGACCAAGGGAGTAAAATTTGGCAAGATAAAACCACTTGAATTCCATAGGAACTAGGTCACCAAATGTATCAAATAGCTTAAATAATAGCACTTAGACTGTAAACACTTTCCTTTGAGACACTTCAAGTGATGTTGACAGCCATTTGTTAAATTTTCATTTTCCACCAAAACAAACCAAACTCCCCTCAAACAAAGAAACAAAAAAACCCACACAAGCGAACAAAAAATGTAACTGAGTACATAAACACACTTGACAAAAAGCCAGCTAATTAGGCAAGCAAAATTCTTGGCTAGTACAGGAATTGCATTATACTCAGGTAGTTCAAATCCAAGCTATTATTTTTGGTGAATGAAAAGGGGAGAAATAGAAAATGTAAGAGTACTCCACAATATTTGCTAGCATAAAGTCTTTGTGACCCAAGAGGGAGCATCAGTTAAGACAATAAATAAAGCTCCTTATATTTTGGCTTGCCAAACAGGTTCTGTAAAAGATTGGGTTTTTTCAAAGAAGGTATATAACATATTACATTAATATTCCTAATTTGTTATATATCTGGTATAAAAGGGACCTTGAGGACTTGATATTCAAAGTTGTTCAGTATGTTCACTTCTAACATAGTCTTCTGCTGAACCACAAGAGCCTAGTAATTTAACAGAACCTTGGACAAAATTGTTGAAAACAAAGTTTATGTGCTTTTTGGTTTGGAAATTAATATACTTGGTTTTCATTTTAGACAGAATGAAGTACCTTCAACCTGTCATATGGTAATAAATCCTCCTTCTGAGAAAGACAATTTTTGGGTTTGCAAAATGATCTGACACATTATCTTTTTCTTTCTTTGGGACCAATGATTTTCTTTTAAAAAATCAAGACCTTACTTTCAAAGGCATGAGGAACAAACTCACTAATGAAACATTCATTTATTATTTTTAACATCATGATTAGGACCTATTTGTGAATCAAAAATCCTTGCGTAAGCTGCTGCGTATCTCTTCCCTGTTTTAGGTTTAATGTGTTAGGCAGCAGCCAAAAAAGATAAAAGCACAAAGAATCAAGGAGAAGAACACTAGGAAACACTTCACAGTTTCAACATGATAGCAGCCTAGGTATTAACAGAAACTGGGATATATATAGGAATTTAAAAAGGAAAATCCTGTTATGCATAAGAAATTGGGGAAGGAATGCCATTTTGAAAGATATACAAAAAAAGGTATGTGAGACTATGTCTGTATATAGACTGACAGGCTGTTTAGCAATCAGAGGTGGACTTCTTGAAGATGAAGAAAAGTTAATTTGGATAGAATATGCAGACACATGAACACACGAAATTATACAGAAAGAAGCATTTCCAAATGATAAATATTGTCATCAGAAAGGGGATACTGGCAGGGGAATGTGTTTTGTATGTTGTATACATCTGCAGAAGCTGTCATTTAAAGCTTAAAGCAGGATAATTTCTGTGGGTATCTGAGGACTGGCTAGTTCACCAAGAAACAGCCCTGACTTTTTAACAGTGGAAAGGAGCAGAGCAATGGGACTATATCTGACCAAGTTCAGAGATGCTCTGCTTAGTTCTGCACTACAGACTTTGCTCTTGTCTGCCCAAGAATATAAAACCTTTTTCTCACCAGCTGTTTCCTGATGATGCCCTCTGATTTGGTGTCTGCAATTTTCAAAGAAGGCATGGATAGAGCTCAGTTTAGATACAGAAAGATGTACAAAGAAGCTGAGAAAGACAGGAAGTATTTATTTTAGCTGTTTGTTTTTTTGTTCTTTACCCCACAGGAGCCTGGGTGCAGCTGCACAATGGTTCAAGGACAGAAGCCAACCTTAAACACTCCTGAAGACAAGGATAACCTACAGAGCACCATGTTTAAGTTGTAGAGGTCTTTGAAATTCCCGATTAGTCTAGAGCAGAGTAAAGCAAAAGTTTGCCTACAAATACTGTGAAGAAAACATCCACTATAACATCCTGTTTCCTCAGCAGTTCGATCATGTGTCTTACAGCCTCAGTGATGCTTTCAGAATGGACGTGTTAAGGCTTTGGTCAAAGGCTAAGGAGTCAGAAGGGGCTTTGTGGGAAAGGCTTCTCCTATGAGCAGTTTTGAGAGCAGAGGAATCCCACTCAAAAACAGTCCACTGGAGAGTCCTGCGCTCTCCAGATTGCTCAGGCATAAACAAGAGGCTTAGGATGAGGCTTAGAGCCCCCAAAGGGGGACTTGGCAAGCTGCAGAGCTGAAAGAAATACATCACGTGCACTGACTTCAGTAAGTATATGTGACATAACTTGGCATTACTATGCTTTTGTGGTTAATAATTTAGTTTTATCAGCTTGCATACACATCATCTTTATTAAACAGTAACCATCCTTCATGAATCATGCAGTTCAAGGCCAAGAAAATAATCAGAGACCATGCTCTGTGCTGAGGAGATAGAATGGTTTGCAAAAAAAGGAAAATACTGCTTTCTGCCATCCATCACAGTTTCCCTGGAATGAAGAGCCAGATGATAATGCTGGGGCCTCTTTAGTGCTAATAAATCAGACTGTCAGCCTGTGTCTAGTTAATATGAATTCTGTACAGTCCAATCCAACTTGGACCACTCCAAGACTCCCAAGCAGAAGATGAGCAGCCAGAAGCCCCTGCACCACAGTGACAGCACCTGTGCTCTAATCAAAGCTTCAGACCATTTGGGTTTCTGTAAAACTAGAAATTTAATTCATACAATACATTAAACTGTTTGGTTTTAAACCCAAGGCAGCAAATATGTATTTCCAAGGTTTTTGTCTCTGTAGTTGACTAAAAGCAAAAGAAAACACGCACTTTTCAGATTAACTTCTTACTATCTAAATCAGTCTGTTAACAAAGTTTTTACTCCTAATTCTAATCATTGTCTTTTGGTTGCCATCATGCATATTTAGATCTTCACTCAAGCCAACTGTCCCTAATGCCATCCTCTCTGAGTATTGGATCAAATTCTGCACCTACCACAAAAAGAATCATGAAGGCAGAGAAGTTCTGTAACAGAATACACCTACGTGACTGGTGTCAAAAATGTGGCTGAAATGAGGATGTCCTTCCTTCACTGGCTTTAGAGGCTGTAACTTAGGTTTCTTTCCTCTTTGGAGAGTCTGAGCAGGAAGCCTTTTCCTTGTCATTGGCATCTGCAACAAAACAGCAGTTTAATTACATTAGAAACAAATTAGGGCACTACTGTGCCTTTGCTGACAACTTTGTAGATATGGATAAAAATTGGCTAAATAAAATGCTACTAATGTCAAAACCCCTAATTGTCATTATCTGGATATTTAAAGATATATGGATGTGACTTAATTGATGGATTTCAGGATATAGGAAGAAAGAAATAGAGACTTTATACAAATCACTTACCATCATTCCACAACATGCAGGGTAGGCAACACATCTGGAGGCCACAATCACTGTCTATAGGAGACTTAAGTGTTAACAAAACCTCAGTTTCAAGATTACTATCAAATGGCAAAATGATGGCCTATGGCTCTGGCTCAAGTTATACGCTTGAATTATATGTCTGGAATTCATACCTAGGTTTATGTTTACTGAAGAGCTTTCAAGGAAAATGAGTATTTCTTTTTGGAGGAGTGGTTGCATGTGCTTGCTCTGTGTGTCACTGAAGGCTGACTACTGCATTGTGAAAGGAAATTTCTCAGACAAGAGTCTCATAAGGCGTATATTGGGATGATGTTATGTGCTTTGACAAAAGAAGCAACAAAGATTAACAGACTAGCCTTGTGATATTTACATTTTTTTTTCTCTAATTTTGATGCACACCTTTTCCTTGGTTTTTCTATTTTATTGCCAAGTCCTGGACATTAAGTTACATAATGACTGAGCACACATCAGCTGTCATTTGATTCTAGCCCTCTCTCTCATTCCTAGAGCAAAAGCTGGATCATGTTAGAAGCATGGATAGATAGTTTTATCATTGATGTCTGACAGGTGTCTTAGTGCCACAGATGTCTTCTTACTGAGGCATCATGGCAAATTTTGAATGTGCTTTCACAGATCATGTCTAAAGTCCTTTTCAGGAGATTTCATGGCACTGTGCAAAGCACATACTATGACTGATTCTGCTCAAGAACAGAATGTGTGTCACCTTCCTCAACTAGTGATGCATTTTTACCAGTACTCACAAAGTGACCTAAACCTGCAGAGTGGCATAAATGAAGCATTACAGAGAGATTTACCCATTTCCAGAAAGCCTGTTCCTCTACCACCCAACAAAGCAAAGCAGAATAAAGGTTATCACAACGACCTATCAATTTAGAGATTATGTTTATATAAGAAGTATCTTGTCCCCTACAAAGTACTAACACCTCCTGGTGCATTCATGTTGCAGTTGGGTTGGGCAAGGTAAACCAGCTCCACCTCCAAACTGGTAAGTGCTGTTGTGCTCCTTCCCACCTTCTCAAAGTTCATCCTGAGCATGCATCTCCTGTTTGTCTACATCTGATAAACACAGTATTCTTTGAATTTTATTATTCTGGGCACAGTATAATTCACCTCAAGGAGGTGAACATCTCTCCCTTTACTTATCACAGACACATTAAACATATGAAAAAAATCCGCATGGATTAAATATTGATTTTATTTTTTAGAGAGCAAGTACAATGATGTTGCATTAAAATAATGCTATGTCATAGTTGTTACAGCTCTGATAGAAAAATAAACATCTCAATATACTACAGTGTCAACTCAATAATAAATATCAAAATAGAAGTTAGTAGTCAACTGAAATTAATAAAACAGCTATAAAAGTATACTATTTTAAATAATAAAATATTCAGTATATTTCCAGACAAACAAAAGTAGTGATTTAAAAGCATAATTTAAAATGTAAAACGAGCAGTAAGAAGTTATAGAATTTAAAACCTCTTCCCTTACTAATAGTCTCTATGCATAAAATCTAGAGAAATATTATTTATCTCTATATACTTTTTTTTACAAAAGGTAGCATATGTTAAATAGAAAGTTAAAAACTGTAGTATTATTATTAGCTGTCACACAGTTGCTAAATAAGACACTTTAAAGTAGCATTATTTTTGAAGCAGCAGTAGGCAGGAGCGAAGATGTTAGCACAGTGAATTCATCCAACACTAATGCCTCTCCAAAAGACTCTTTCAACATCTCCCTTCAAAATACAACTGAAACAGCCCAAACACAATATAGGTATCAGGATGAAATGTTAGGATTTGGACAGAAGCCATTAATTTAAGAAATGCCAGACAATTTTTTAATAAGTAGGTATCTTTTTTTTTTAAAGTGTGTACAGAAAAGGAAACAAAGAGAACATGCAATCCAGAGCAGCATTTCTAAAGCCTAAGGATCTAGTAATTTTGGGGGGGGGAGGGGTTTGTTATGTTTTTTTTCCCCCAGACAGGCCAACCATTCTGAGCTGCTTGCTCTCAGTGAAACCCCACTGATTTGGCTCACTATAGAGATGCATTCCTACTGCCTAATTTTAACCTTTTTCCCCCCTCTCCATGCATTTCAATTCTCAGAGATGGCTCTCTGAGAATTGAGATGGCTCTCAATAAGACCCCAGAGATGTCTGTGCATCAGAGCAGTTTCAAGATACAATTAAAAAGTAGTGTTCTTCTTAACTACAGCTTCATTTCTGCTTTCCCCTCTCTTGCAAATGGACTGGCACCACTCATCACTCACAGTCAGAGCAGAGTTAGGTGTTACCCAGCACTGACACAGCACAAATGCCTCTATGAGAGGTGCCCTTTACAGCTATAGCTTACACTCCTGAAGGCTGACTGATCCAAGGGCTGGTGGAAAGACAATGGGTAGGTGCCCAAAGACTCCCCAGAAGCTTTAACAGAGATCTGCAGCATTCAAATTTACAGGCAGTCCCATGTAAGCATTCTGGATGAATAAAGATGTGAAATGTCTGCAGTGTTGCAGTTCAGACTGCACATTATGCAGTTCCAGTGTGTGGACAAGTGCCTACGATGCAAACATAGGGCACCACCTCTGCCAACAAACCTACTTTGAAGAGGTTTTCTGCCTTCCCTCTTCAAGTCCCCTGCACAGGCAGCCATGCCCTTGCATCTGTCTGCCCTGGACATCTCCAGACCTTATGTTTAGTTTTAGGACTGAGGGTTGCTTGAAGCTGTTTCATACATTCACTCCCATGGTTTGCAAAACATGTACATTTAGGTATGCACACTAAGCAGGAAACAAATATTATATATGACCAGACTGGGAAAATAATATTTTTCCATTGCAGTACGAAGAATGCTTTACATAGCAGGTTTTCATGACATCATAGAGAGGAAAAAATAAATCCAGTTGAGAATAACGGATAAAATGTAAACTATGCCCATTCGAACATCCTTCCTTTTAAAGGTTCACTTTTAACATTCCTTGCAAATGTAAGGGAATTTCAGCTGGGCACAATGAAAATTCCTTGCATACCATGTGCACGTTTTCTGGATGAAACAGCTATTTTCCCACACACTTCTTCAGCAATCTTATTAGTGTACTCATGATGCTTGGAAATAACCATTTCATAGCTTTCCTCATTTTACAGTACTTAAAAACATCTGAAGTAAAATGCATGCTTTTTAATTGCTTAAACATGGAATTTCTGAAATGTTAAGCAAATAAGCATTCAAAGGTAAAAACAAGGAGATTAGCATCTGAAAATTATTCATATATATTTTAACATTAACATTTATGCTGTAAAAAGTCATGCATATGGTCTATTTGTGGGAGCAAATCTAAAAACAATTCCCCCAAAAATTATGAGATGCAACAGTATCTGCTGGTACATTTTTGGATATAGGCACAGAGTAGAATTATTTGACTTCTTTTTAATTTTTTTTTTAAGAAGCCTAGTATAAGAAATTTTATTTGAGAAGTTTGGAATGTTCTATTCTGAGGTTAGATATTTTCCCCCTATTTTTATGAGCATCTTTGACACACAGTACATTGAAAACTAATGTGAACTAATTTGTCTTTAATATCTCCCATATTAAGCACTATAGGAAGCAGAGTCCTTCTCCAATCACTGAAGAAATTCCTTGTGAATTACAGGCTGCTTTCTCATTTAAGGTCATGTGCTGAGGGAACACAACTCCCTAAATAGTGAGGCTTTTGTTGAGCTATTCATCTCCAGCAGCAGCTCTTCTGAAAAACATGGTCAAAGGCAGAGGGAAACAAGTACCAAGCAAAGCCAGAGTTTCTCATGGATAGATTCCATCCCTAGAAACAAAGCCTCCTCCCAAGAATCCTGCTCTGTATAAGCTCCCCATGGGCCTTCTAAAAGCCTTGACCTGTCACATTAACAGCAGCTTATTCTCTTTCACCAGCCTCCTCCACAATACAGCAAAACCATGAGGGAGATGCAAAACAGTTTTTTATTCTTCTTCTTTTTTTTTTTCTTAAAAATTTTTTTTTCTTAGTGTACATTTTTTAATCTCAGGACAGCAAGCAGCTTACAGTGCAATTGGTCCTGTGAGTCTGCTTCTATTTGACCAGAGCATTTTAAACATTCAGGCAGGTGTCTGATAAGGAAATACTGGCCGTGCCCCTTCACAGGCAGCACTGCAATGCCAACCAAGTGCTACAGAAGAAAAGCAGTAGGAGTGTGATGTGTCTGGAAGATGGGTGTTACAGCTCAAATCTTTCTTCCATTGAGAGCCCAGCTCCGTTGTCCCCTACTCACACAATTTAACTGCCTCTAGCAGTGAAAAGTAATTTCTACAAAAAAAAAGTTATCACTTCTGTAAAAGCTTTACTAAATGCTTTAAAGCATTATGGTGGGAAAATATCACTGAGCACTGATTTTTTTTTTTTTTTGTAAAGTGAAACAGACAACCAGAGACTGTTTGCTACTCACAAATAGTCATGAACTGTGATAAGGGTAATAGCAGGTAAACCTTTATCAATCTTTTATCTCTATCCCACTGAAACCAGTTTTTTGGAATCTGTTAATTTACACAGAAAGAAAATGATCCTACATGTTTTAAAAGAAAATAAAAGTTTAAGGTATACTTGATTGATTACAGAATTAATCTATAACGAAGGTTCTACCTAATTAAGCTATCATTGAAGTCAGAGTCAGTGTAAGGAAACACTCTTTTCTTTAAATGAGACACTTTTACCTTTATGGTAGAAAGTTCAGGGCCTACTTTGGAGACTGCTTTAGAAACATTTAATAGTCCAGTTTACAGGTTTTAAAAAAACACCCAATCCCTAAGGTCTAGAGCTTTTATGGCTAATGAAGAGGCCAATGTCTTTATATTGTTTTTCTCAATCCCACTTGATCAATTACTCAAAAAACCGAACACTCACATAACACTTACCAGTTCTTCTGCATCCTGCCTTCTTTTCACATGCATATTCCTCAGATTCTAGTGGGAATTTACAGAAGAAATATATAGGAAATATATACTAAATATATACTAAAAAACTGCACATAAGGAGGTCCTGCTTTGTTTCTTTAACTTATCTACGACAAATACAGACCTAATATTTCATATTAGCATATGCTAATATTTCATATTAGCAATAAGTGTTGCTAAAATGGTACACTGTCTTCTGAGATGAATTTTCTTTTTGCCAGCAAGATTTTAGAGCATTAGAGGTTGATCACACTTTTGTGGGGTTTCAGCAGCACAGGCTTAGTAAATCAAACTGACACTTCCAACTAGCATATAACATAATGATCTTCTACCATTACAGTCAGTTTTAGGGGTTAAAAAAATGCATCTGTGTTACCTTGTAGCTCACATTCTTCTCTCAGATAGGCTTATATTGGTCCCACCATATTTAGAAGAGCTTTGCCTATTTCTGAAGGCAGAATTTGATCCCACATTTATGAAGTTAACTAATGTGTTCCCTTGAGAAAAAGACTCATATTTTCCTCACCTTCTGAACTGCAGGTTCTTTTCCACATCACACTGGACACACTTCTCAAGACACAGTCAAAAAAAAATGAAGTGGTTACAAGAAAATTTACAAAACTCGATCCCATCAACTAATTTACATAACAAAAAAGAGCAAGTGTAAAATCAGACATTCCTGACATCATACAAAAAGATCAAAGCCTTTATTTGGCAAAACACTGACATGTAGCTAGCAAACCAAACACAGCTCTGGTGTAATTTATGTACTTGCAACGGGGTTCATGCTGCTGACTCTAAAGCTGAAGTCAGCCAACAGTGATCATCATGTAGACCATGCTGTTGGACAGAGAAACTCTCATTTTCTGTAGCCACTCAGTTTCCAAATATCTTAAATTTTGTATAAAAGGGGTTTTTTATGTTTAAACAAATAAAAAAGCTAAAAATTACTCTTTATCAGATATAAATTATCTTTAAGTGACATCATCCATATGAAAAACTTTGTATATAATTTACCTGTGTGTGCATGGTGTGTGTATACACATACAACTATAGACCCACACCAGTTAACTAAATACTCATTTAATCCATTCATTTTTATGAGGAAAAGCTAAGAGGCTAAAGCAGACAAATTGGTGGAATATATCATCTGAGAGACCTATAAAAGTACCATTTACTCTACTTAAGAGCATTTTAATAGTTTAATCTATTGCTATAATATACAGCAATATTAATATTTCAGTCACAGCTTCTGTCCATTTCCACAGAGCACATCAGTACTAGCTACATGTAGAGTGAGATCAGTGCTTTGTCAGACTGGTTCATATCTACATTCTACGCCATAACTAAATAAATTAGAATATGCTAAAGTGCTACATCAACACTAATGTTTCTGAACAGTAGTAACGCACATTTCTCTTTCAAAAAAATCTAAAAAAATACAGCAGCTATAGTTTCAAACAAAATCACATAATGTGAGTCCGTTTACAGGTCACTTAGTTACAGTATTCAACAAAATGCACAAAACAAAACTGTGTGGCGACAGTCAAGATTCCCACAGAGTACAAAAGGTAACGTTTTAAAAGTCGATCCTGATGGAAATGGAATTTGCAGGAAACACACAGTCTTCAGAATTCACACTTGAAAGTTTCATTTAATCGCAACTTGCTGATGTCGATATTTATTTCCTCTGGTTTGTCACGTCTGTATGTTACTGTTCTTGTGCAAACTGTAGGCAAAAACATCTTATCCTTGAAGGAGAAGATATAATTTTAGTCAGCAATTAGCTAACTTTTATATGCAAGAAAAAGATTACTGAACACAATAGCTCTGAAATAAATTACCTTCTTTGTTGCAGATACTCTGTAATCAGATGAAGACTTAACTTTATTGCTACTCCCCTGCAGAATGATCTGCCTGATGATAAGGACAACAAGCAACCCGATCAGAAAGGTAACTATAAAGATTATGGAAAAGACTCTAAAGTAGCTTCGTCCAGAGAAACATTCTGCAACAAAAGGAAAACACAAGGGTAAAGCTTAATGTACGGAGCAGGCACATCCCTCTAACACAGGTACATCTATCACTGCATAGTAATGTTGCATAAATGTAACACGAGCCTGATAAAAACTGAGGGAAAATCACTTAGGGGAAATTAAGAGGAAAAGTTGCCATATGTAGGCTTTTAAAATGGGGCATATCAAGAAAAGCAATTCAGATTAAGATCTATTGTAAAAAAAAATGGTGAAACTATTGCTCTTTTAATCTACAGAATTAAGACTCAGGTTTCATTGTATTGCCCACCATAAATTCTCTGTAGACCAGTGAAACAGAGAGGATGAAATGTTATAGATCCTTGGGGTGAAGAGAATTTAATCTTCACAAGATGACAGTGAAGATCCCTGGTGAAATATGAAAGATATTATTCAATCCTTGTCCAGTATTCTCCTCACTGGAGACTTTTCTCACTTGGCAAGCTTTCCTTAATTAATACTAAAGTTACGAGAAAAATATTCACAGTTTTCTCATTTATGAACTGTAGAATATAAAGGTGTACATAAATGTGAAGTGACATTTACCTGCCTTTTTGTTGCTGTGTGGAGTGATTAGGCTTTATGAGATTTTATTTACAAAAAAAAAAGTAATTATTCTTCCACAGCCCTCATAACTGCAGTTTTTTATACTTGAAAGGAATATTTAAACATTACTGAACTTGAGGTAAGCTTTCTGCTTCTTTTACCCTTGTTTCTGGTAATGTCAAATAATATAAGCATATCCAAAGTAATAAAACATACAGATGCCATAACAGATTTTTATAAATATTTCTTTAAGCACTGCTCAGGCAGGATTCATCTTTATTATACATGACTTCTCAAGGAGCTGGGAAATCTGACTTAGCAATGCTTGAAATCATATTTCCTGTTATTATTTATCTTTTACTTTCCCCGAAGCTATGAGTGAGTTTTCTCTTTTTCCTGCCTTCTTTGTTATTGTAATAATATGACACACTTGAAAGGCATTCTAACAGTGGTGAATTCAATTAGTAATCCCAACAGATTTTAATCTCTTATTAAAATTATCTAGAAAATGTCACATACCTGAAGTATGGTCAACATAATGCAGTAGGTAAGCGCATGAGGTTGTGCACTGGTCAAGTATTGCTTGAGATGTATTGTTAGAATGATGGCACTGAACACAGTTCCTGTAAAGTAAAAATATAATTAAAAACCTATGTCTTTCTCTGCACTCCCCTTAAAGAGATTGTATCAACAAGCTGACATAATGCTTGCACATAATGCTTTCCTCTTGTTAGTAAAAACATTGCGACATTTATTTTTTTTCTGAAATGTAATACCTCTCTCAGTGTTTTATCTCTCTGATGCTTCTCAGAACCAACTAGTCAGAAACTGTAAAGTAAAACATGTCTTTGGCTTTGAGCCACCTTCATCTGGTCCCTGCTCTATTCTTTGTGATGCAAGTTTGTCACAGGGTGTAGCTAAGGGTCCAGCGCCCTTTCTTCAGCTTTCAGCTTCCAGTTCAGTCCTAGTCTTTCGTTTTATATCAGTCTCATCAGGATGCTCTGCATCAGGAATTGCAGAGTAGAGACAGGTGTAGAAAACAAAGCTTTGTCAATAATTTTTGGATGCTATGTTAAGACAAAGTCAAGTGAGTTTGCAATGCTGGGCAGTTCAGAGAGACAGCAGCACAGTGGGAGGCAGTGCTTTCAGTCTTGCCATCTTCACTGTATAGCCTTGCAGAAGAGGGATATCACATGAGACCCTGAAAAAGCCCTGGCTGAATTTTTAACAAAGGTGTGCCATCTTCTGAATTTATTAAAGCCATACATTTCACAGTGATTTTGAACAAGTGTAAGCCAGAAAGGCTAACTGCATTTTATTTAGAGAAATTGTAGCATTCACTTTTTTTGGACATGATCAAGCTTGGCTCTTGAGCATTTCCTTCAAAGAGCTAAAATTCAAATTAATATAAATAAACAATGATTCTGTTTTGAGCACAATGCCCTTTACAGTGAAAGGCTGATCTTTCATCTTCTGCACCACAGTGAGATGCAAAACATTATATGTGCTGACAAGAGGGTGTAGTAGAGCTGTGCCCAAGGGCTTCGTTCACCCTCTATGCCAGGACCATGCAGTGTGCCACTAAGAGCTTGATCTAGCTTCTCTGCTGGGATTGCTCATTTCAACCTCCACACTGTTCCCTCCTTTACACAGGTAAGGAAAAATGACATGGCAAAGACTAAGTGTTTTAAAACTGAGTAACGAAGAATGTTGTTCTCTGGGTAAGACCATCTCTGCTCTGCTGACCAATGGCAATGACAATACACAGGTACTGCTCTTGTTCCGCATCTCCTTCAACTGAGAAGCACAAGGAGTGTGCAAAAACATATTTGGAGAATATTAGTGGACTTTGTGGAATTCAAAAGTAGTATCTAGTGTCCCTTTTTAAAACTCCAAATTCATGGGGTTTATTTCCTACCCAGAAGATTTCATATGAACATTGATATTTTATTAAAACTATGAAAAAACAATATTCATAGGATACACCTCCCTTGGCTTCTGAAAGCTGGAAGTTAGACACAGACTGGTGAACAAAGATGTGGACATGCAATTCCCTTAATTGCCAGTATGAATCCCTCAGCTACAGAGAGAAAAGTGTATATTGTTTCAATTTCCTACAGCCCAAATATCAAAGAAATGTCGCATCTAGCCAAGCAGAAATATTTCTCCACGTTTCAACACTAGAGAGGTAAAAAGTCAAGTCTAGCACAAGAAACATACCAGTTTTCTTCACAGGCTTTGTTACAAGTCGGGCAATATTCACACAAACGGCCAAAGCTTCTTGGATCTGTGCACTCACACTTTCCACATATGCATTTTCCTCTTCCACTGCAAATCTGACCCTTTGAATTCAGGCAGTACTTTGATGATTGTGAGGAGCACTCGCAACGATCACCTTCCCAGCCAGCAAAGCATTTGCATTTACCACCTTCACATTCACCATTACCTACAACATCAGAGAGTCTCGAGTCATATGCTTTTATGAAAACACAGGAAATCAATTTTTAGATGCATACACTTGTTTCACTGGTGCTTTACATTAAACAGAGCTAATCTAGACCTTGACTTTCTAGTTAGTTTTTAAGTTAACAACTCGGGCTGAAATTACCAGTATGATATATATTTATGGCTGCTGGTTGTTGTCAAGTTAAGCAAAAGTTACTACCATGATGTCATCCTAAAACCTTTTACTAAAATTTTTCCCTCTTGCCTTGGATGAAAGGAGTGGGGATTAGAAATTACACAATGACCAGGAAAATAGTCTTCAGGCAAACTAAACAAACTTCTCTTTAGCAAGAAAACATTCAATTCAAATAAACAGCAAGATTCAGTGGAGGAAAGAGTATCAAATTCACGCGCACATGCCAGGTTGTTCCTCTTTTCTTTTTTTCTTCCCTTTCCCCCTCCCCTCCCCTCCTCTCCCCTCCCCTCCCCTCCTCAAAATACCTAAACTTAGAAAAAAATCAATGTATCTCCTAAAAAGCAGGGCTGAAATTTAGGAGACAGTGCATATCTCTGTGGTGAAGAAAGCCCAGGAGCGTGAATTCCATCCAGGATGTTCAGGACATTTCCTACACTAATTCTGCACAAACAATTCTCATACTTGACAGCCTTATATCATTGATGTCAGATGCATCATGTACATTAGTGTCAGAAAACAAAACAAAACAAAACAAGAAAATACAGCCATAAACTCTGCAGCTTACCAGAACATAAGTTTCCCTGGTGATATGGGCAGGAAAAGTCATCCATTTCACAGTACTTGCCATACACCTTGCCTAGCTTGTTTTTGTAGCAGAAACATTTTCCATCTATGCAATTTCCTTGACCACTGCAGATAGGTTGGTCCTGGTATTGCCTGCACCTCTCTGAAAGAAGTGTGTCTTCTCTGTGAGAGCTACAGTTACTGTCACTGCAGTGGGACTGTTTGCTATCAGAAGTTTCATCAGCCCATACTCTGTTGTGGTCCGTGCTGTCTCCATACCGGCAGGCACAGCTTTGCTGCACATTAACAATGGCGGTTTCATTGAAACCAATAGGCTTAAGTATAGCATATTTTCTCCCTCCAGCTGTATGACATCCTTTCATTGCAACTGATACATTGAAAAGTACCTAAGAAGAAATAAAGATTTTATATTTTTATTATTTCCTTGTTTAAATTTCCTTTAAAGTTTTAACACATAAATAAAGCAGAATCTTAGATTGTATATGAATATGCATTAGCTAACAATAGCAAAATACACACTGGTCATTTGTCAAAAATTATATTCTAGTAATGAGAGGCATCACAAATACAGTCAAAATCCTAACAATAGAAGATTGACAGCAGCCTACTTTTCAAATTAAGATAGCACAGTTGCAAAAGACAAGTTTAATACAAGTTCAATGGAAACAGAATCACCATCATCATCATCATCATCCTGCTATTATTTAATGTGTAAATTCTTTTATATCATAGAAATACTCTGACTAGAACTGGAACTAGATTGAGCAAGACAATAAACAAACAGAAACAGAGATACCCTTCATAAAAAAAAAAGTCTGTGATGAAAGTTCCTCTGCAGAAATGGTCATGCACAGACAAACCACACAGGTTTTTTTGGATGGCCTTATCTACTCCTACTAAAACACAGAAAATGGCTCACACCCTAGCAGCAAATTATTTATTGCAATTCCTACAATGGAGATGGAGAAAGAGAGTCTTCCTTCTCTTGCTGTGACCCTGGGCAGACCAAATTCTGCTTCAGAGTGGACCCACTTCCTAGCTCCTGGCCATGTCATGGCCATCACCACCATGCTCCAGCTCCTCATCCCAGCAGTGCACACTGCAGCAGCAGCTCCCATGGTTTTCCAGAGTCCTGGCACAGGACCCCGGATCATTTTGGTCATTAAATTATTGCCACAGAGTTTGCATCAAACACTACCAAAACTCTTTGACAGCTCTCTGACATATGTGATACTTTCACTGGATACCAATCTTCTATTTCGCAATTGATTTTTGGTTTTTGACCAGTAGGCCTCTGACATGGTATTCTCTCTAAGGTTTTACATTTGTTCAGCCTGCTGATGGAAAACAACACTTTCTTGCATCCTCACAGAGAAAATATAACCAAGAAGAAGAGGTAAGAAAGAAACCCAAGAGAAGCAAATATCTCTACTCTTCTCGATCAAAAATTTCCAAATAAAAAAAAGAGAAACCCAGAGCAACTGATTACATATGAGGTTGAAATTACCCGCAAAGACTAAGGCCATTCATCTCTCATCACTGTCTCTCCCTCCCGCTGCGCCCCCACATGAGAACAGCCGAGCCCTTGGGGACAATGGTGGCTTTGTGGCGAGTGGGGCTGTGGCTGCCTACACAGACAACAGGAGAAGAATGCTGTGCAGAAGCATGCACTTACTGTCATATCGAGGGGGCACACAGGCTTTATCTCACCCTTTGCTTTTCTTCTTGTTTCTCAAATGCATCGCTACATGCATAACCCCTCACTCGCCTACGCTCTCCATGCATGGGATTTCTTACCTTGGGTTACAGGACAAAAGTGTGCCTATGGAGAAATTAATTCTTACAGCAGGTGCGTAGCACACAGGGAGGACAGGATGCAGCTAGGGAATGTTTTTTATTCAACACAGAGCCCTGCTAGAAAACATCATGTTCAACACAGTACTGGAGGAATGGGAGACAGATGGAAGGGCAAATCCTGTCTTGTGTATTAGTAGTGAGATATGACAGGTCTGAACAGAGCACTAGAAAGATTATACCGGTTGAGACTAAATAATTACAACACCATCAACACCGACACTCACTAATAGCCAAGTTAGTTTTGCACCCCGAAGAGGTCACGTGATTCTTCCAGAATATAATACACTTCGTGTTTTGGTAAAAAAGGGAAGGAAGAAGGATTAGACAATGAAAGGAATGTGAGAATTAAGAGAAAGCATTTTGCCTGTAAACAAATACTGAAAGAAGGATTTATGCTTAAAATAAATTAATCTCTTAAGGGCGGCTCATTTTCAACAGCAGTAGAGTGCACCACATGCAATCTTTTACAATCAACTGGCTTGGCTTTTTATTAAAAAGAAACAGATATAAATATTTTTCTTTTCATTAAACAGAACAAATTCCAGTCCTATTTCTTATGACATGCACAGAGAACAACACTGGACAAGAGATGAGTTAAGAAGAAAAACATAGCAAATCTCCCATAAACTGTAGATGCTAATCAGCAGCATGAAAACAAAGTTCCAGAAGAGCATAAAATACATTGAAATATACATTACAATTCACACATTTCATCTACTGAATTGTTTTTCTATTTCTACACATGGATGTAAGTAAAATCACACCAGCTGAGACATATGTACATGTCAAGCAGGAAAGAACTCCTTGACCCTGTCCTCCAGAAAACACAGACCTTTTCCTGGCAAGCTAAAGGAATTACTCCAGTTGTCCAAGCAATTAAATAAATATATCAAGGCACAGAGAAGTTTTTCTGGGAAGAAAACCATATTCTTTACATTACTCAGATATCTTCCCCTGCATTTTCATGGTGCATGATGCTCTGTTTCATTCAGTAGGGGGCATCAATACAAATGGGAATAAAAATTTTATTAATTTGATTTATAAAATAAACTTACTATCTACAACCCTGATTGTGCATGAAGACTAGTAAAGCAAGAAGAAAGAAAGGTGGCGTCTAGTACAGACTCAAGGAATGCAAATTCCAGTGATTCTTTTTCACTGTGATTATCTTTCAACCTCTTTACGTACAGATTTCCCCACAATGAACATGGTTGGTTGTGCCCAGTGGAGGACAAAGAAGGCGAGTTTTAATGGACGTTAGCTTTCAGGAAAAGCTTTGAGCCTTAGTTCCATGGGATTAGTGAGAATTAAAATAAGATTCAGGACAAATAAACCCAGAGAATAATAGAGAGTCTGTGATCATTAATCACATAAATCCATTTTCAGTTTAAGCAAATCCCTAGAAGATTTCACACCATTGAAACCCAACCAAACAGAAAAATAAGTATTCCAGTTCCTTGAAGAATGAAAACTATCAACATACTTCTTTATTATATCCCACATTTTTACATCCTTCCATGCCTGTTTTTTTACTTCCATCAGGACAGATTGCAGTGATATTGAAATTAAGACCTTGGATCTGGTTATCCACTTGAAGTTTCACTTCAGAGATTAGTTTCTGTAACCAGAAAAAGAGTTTTAAGTCACATCGCATCTCAAAATATAATGTACATTAGTGACTACCACCAAGTATGGCTACTGTGTCTGACTAAAAATGAAGAAAGCTTGTCTGTGTGAATAAAGGAATGAATTAAAGCATTGTTTCCTGTATAAAGACCCGATTACATTCCAAATATACACAACCAGTGAACTGGCAATTCTGATAAAGAGGATTAGGTTTTGCAGATAAAAATGTTTTCAGCTTTTCTAAAATGGTTTTGGGACTGTATTTTTCTCAATTTGAAAATGCATTCTAAGAACTATGTCCAACAAAAATGGCCTGTTGTTTGTGTCTACACTGCCTTTTAGCCACACATCTAAAATACAACTGTAAACATACATACAACTTTTGTTATCCAACAGAAAAGGTTCCTAATTGACTTGACACTTTATAAACTTCTGACATTTTGCATCTGTCTTGGAAAAGTTTTCTCTGAACAAACCTTACAGTGATCTAAAGGGTACTGGGCATTATTCTTACTGATTTCTTTGGGTCAGCAAAGACCATATAAGTCAACAACTGGGTGATTCCCATTAGGACATTTTGCAATAAAAAATAATGAAAAAGCCACCTACTTTGTGTCTTGCATTTACTACATGCTCTAAAATCCTGCGTCCTTCCAAGGAGTTGCTTCTTGACCTTTTAAAAATTTATTACAGCTCTTACAAACTTATGAGCTGAAAATTGCACAAAGAGATTTTTTAAATTTGTGGCATATTACTATTAAAAAATTAGTTTATGCAATTTTTTTACTGCTATAAATGGAAATGTAATTACATGAATCTAAACATGTTTATCTTAGTAACTTTTTGAAAATTAGTGACTCATCTTTGGCTTTATAGGCAGGGATTTTCAGCAAGGGTTTTCCATAACTAAGCCTGAGGTTTCCCTGCCTAGAAAAGGAGTACAGGAGGCCCATTGCCACTGAATATCAACACAACATTTATTTTCTTATCTAAGTACTTTTTCTTTCAAAAAAGCAATACATTCAAGTGTTGTTCACTATGTGTTTGTATATTACAAGCCCCTGATATGATCAAATTCTCAAACTGTCAAATACAGTGAAGTTTAGGATGGGAAGGAAGATACTACCTAAAAAATGAAAGTAAGGCAAGAACAAACAGGGAGTGACTGAACCAGGAAAGTCCCACCAAAGTCCTATTGAACTACATCATTATTTTGTACATTTTTATTTCCTCTCCTTGAATGCTTGCCCTGCACCGGGTAAGAACCATGTTACAATTTAGGATGGACAGTGTAAAAGTGCCATACAAAAGGACTACAATCTTCAAATTTTTTTTGCCATCAACTTCCTGCAAACCTCCATATTCAACATGAAATTTCTCAACTTTGTAAGAGGAACCACAATATCAGTGAGAACTTATCTGTAATTTGATTACACCTAATCTCCTCTGCTTTTGAATGTCTTTGCCTTCTGCTTTCCAGCATGATAGTGAGAAAAATGTGTGCAAAAGCACTATATTGACACTGTATATAGTTTTGCAGCTGAGTTTTCAACTTTTTGAACCTGTATGTTTGTGTACCTGCAAAACTTAACAGCATTTAACCATCTAACCCCTTCTGTTCATTTTGATATTGCTCTGTGGGTTCCCTGTGCTCTTAGTACATCAAATGTATAGTACTTGGCATCATTTTCAAAGCTGTTTATGTCCCCTCTTTCCTTCATTATCAAGATGCCTATTTCCACTTTCAAACTGCCATTCTCTTTCAGCCATTTGTGGAAAATGATTTTATGCTTTTTCCCACACTATTACTTTCTCTTACCCCAACAGTTACTTTCAATTGAGTACTCCAAGCAAGTTCACAAAGCCATTTCCATTGTTCTCTCCCAAATCCCTACCAAAACTCTTCTTCAATGCCATGCCTCAAAATGCCAAGTCATTACACTGCTTTGTGCAGTGTAAATATTGCTTTTCACAATATCCACTGTTGCCAAACTACCTTCTTGTAAATTCCCATCTGCTGTCTGCTTTTTAAAAATTATTCTGCAAAACCCTCCAGGTACTGCACTCTGGTTTCGCTCTGAATTTATATGGTGCCTAGACAGTGGTGTCTGGTCTGTAACCGAAGATCTGGGGTGCCAAAATTCAAATAAATCAGATATTTCTTTTGAAGTCACATAGCAACAGGTGCACAGAATCAAACAGAATATTCAGAAGCATCCTTAGAAATAAAAAAGCACTAGCTCTTGGCTTTGAGACACTGACAGCTGGGGAATTTGAGAGCTATTGTGAGATAATGTCACCTATCAACTTGGACGCTGAGTAGGGAATGTATTCTTGTGGACTTCGGATGGAAGCCAAGAGCCTGAAAATTGAAGATTTAGGCTATGAGAAGTGAAAAATGTCTGTACAAATATGGCATACACCATCGTCACTCTTGTCATACCTGATAGGCTTCTACCACCAAATCATTGAGATTTGCTGCTTGTGATTCTATTTGTCTTGCAACAGTACCAGGCAACAGAGGTAACAGATCCTATGAAAAATAAAATAATTTATGCAGTTTTAATTTTTAGTATAAGTATTGTGCTTTCAAACTGGAAAAAGAAATCAGGTTTCTAACCTACTTTATACCAATGGAACTGGCTTCCTTGAACTGCAAAAATAACATTGATGTTATTGTCAATCAATTTTTCAGAGAGCTGCCCAAGGGATGGATGCTCCTGCAACATATAAGACAAAAGAGAATACTGCATATTAGTAGGGGAGAACCTTATATTTCAAATATGACACATTACAGGGTTCCAGAACCACCCCAACCTTAAGTCCTAAATGTACAGAGAAATGCTAGACCTATATTCAAAAGAAGGTGGTACTACCCAAAAAAAAAAAAAAAAAAAAAAAAAAAAGTTATCATCAGAGCAACAACTATGTAGGTCTGCTGCATAGTGGGAGGACTAACTTATACAGTATTGTTTTGTTAGTTTGAGTCTGATGCTTAAGAAACATGGATTTGATGTTGTTCATCGTCCATCTAGAAGATTAACAAGATTCCTGGGGTTCTTGAGTAAAAGTCAGGGAGAAAATACAACATGAAGGACTGAGATGAGCTGTGCTTTTGGGAACAGCAAGGACAGTAATTAAAAAAAAGTTTGTTTCTCAGAACTGTATTTTGGCACCAGAGGTCATACACATCAACTAAATGCAGCCAGTGGATCAGGTTCTAGCACTGATAACTAGTATTCTGTAGTTATCTCACTTAAAACTGACAGCTTTATCCTCTGTATGCACAAGACTTGTCTCCAGTTCTCATCATGATCACCTGTATGTTTTCTTAACCACACTTGTGCTTGAAAAAGATGACATTAGTTTCACATCTTTCCTCAGTAATACATTGTTCTATTTGGTGAAGTACCCATGACAGCATTTCCTGTGCCAGTGCCCTTCTACACTTCTCACTGAGAGATCTGACATGGATTTGAGAACAAGATTCTTTGCTTCTCTTCATCCAAGGACTGGGGAAGCTCGAAGGTGTCTGTGTGGTCCCAGTAGGCTTTGTACACCTGGGTTATGTGAGATCCCTCCAGCTCCAGTACTCTAAAACAAACTGCATCTGAAAATTGCTGCTTATTAACCATACATAAGTGACTAGTTCTCAAAAAATAAATTTAACACTTAAAATTCACGACTAAACAGAGAGAGGAGACTGGGGCCTGTGATTCCACTTACAGAGATTTCATCTGGACACCTTCACTTACGTCAGTGACTTCAACCTGTTTCCCCCACATACTTCCACTGTCTTTCTCTTCCTGTTATTTTTCACCATCTGCCCCAAACTGTCTCTCTCTTGCACACAGTCTGTTTCCCTGCACCATTCTTTTCTCCTTGGATTGCTCCTTCTTACTCAAGGCACCCTCCAAGTCAACAGCTCTCCCAGCAGTAATCTAAATAGCAAGACAGCTGAGATGAAGTTATGCAAGGGTGAAAAATTAATTTTCCATGATATTGCACCATTATAAAGAGCCTTGTACAGAAAGAACAAAGGAGTTTCTTCCAGCAGTTTGATCTTTGCCGATGTACATACCTCTCTCAACCTTTCTACCCATTGGTAAGAGATTATATTCCTTAAGATAACTAATGAAAGGCAGATAACACAGCAATAAACAGGCCTCCTTAGAGCTGAAGAGTGTGCCATGCTCACTGGAGAGAGAGCATGGACCAGTTAGGAAAACAAAATTTATTTGTTAATTTGAAGCTTCTGTGTGAATATCTATCAATAAAATAATCACATATACCACAGATGAGAAGAAAAAAAAATAGGAAAGCAGTACACCTTCCCTTGCAGACAATACTGTGTTACCATGTCAAATCTACTCCAGAAAATATGCAGTGCTGAGAAAGATTTCCATTATAACCCTTTTCTATTACTAAGTGCATGCCTACATGTGAGCATGCAAGAATTAGCGAATACTGGAAAAAAAAAAAAGGTTATCAGCCAGAAAATACATGGGCCTAAATGTGCCACTACAGATGTAAACATGACAAGGTCATTTAATTTGGGTGGCTAAAAAAATCATATTTCATAAAATGCATCAATACCAGTAATCATGGAGATTTCTTTTTCCATATGGGGTAATAAGATCATGACCTTTCAAACTAGAATCTAGAATATCAGTAAACCCCCCTTTTTTTTAAGTCAGCCATCAGTCTATCGAAGCTGCTTAGAAAGAGGTTCATTAATTTTGTCTGTATTTTCCCTGGACAGAAAATAAAAATAGTGTGTTTTGGTGGTTTTTTTTTTTTCTGAAACAGATAATGTCTTTATTACCAAAGGAACACTGAAAACCAGAAAAAGATTTGTACCTTTAGCAATTGTTTAATAAGCAGAGTAAAATTCCTCTCAGCCCGGCAACTAGGAGGGAAAAAAAAAAAAAAGAAAAGCAGAGTATGCTCTGCTTTGGGAAAGTTTTGGGATTATTTGCTGTAAGTAGAATAAGGGAAGGGTTTGTTTCTATCCCAAGGACACTGAACAGACTGACTAGAGTGAAATAAAAAAACCTGACATCTGTGAGGGAATATGGACGCAAGAATGTCAGATAATCGGAAATCCAAACAACCTTCCTGTTAGCACACGCTCATCTCCCTCCTCCGCTCAGCAAGGTCCCAAACACCCACCGGTTCCCAGAAGCCTCCCATATTTCATGATCACACAACATCCAGCAGCCTCTTCCTGCTGCCCCACCATCCTCGTAAACAACAGTTGCTGGGATTAAATTCAGGTCTAGACTCCCTTACACACAGCCCTCACTGACTTCACTAGCACATTGCTGGCTGCAGCTGAATGCAGGCTCTGTGCCTCAACTAAGTGCACCTACTACCAAGAAAAAAATTGTAAGATGCTCTAATTATACCACAGTTCATATTTCTGCTTTCTGGGAATTAAACAGCAATTAATCAGTGATTCATGTTTCTAAAATAAACAACTAATATTTATTTAAGAAAATAACCAGAGCAATAGAAATCTGTAATTCTTAGGCAAAAATTCCTGTCTTCAGTCACTTGCAACAATTTTATACATTATTGAAGAAAATATTTTGAAAGCTAAAAATATTTGTTGAAGGCATGTTATTTTGTTACAGCAGATTTGATACAACTTTTTGCACAGGTACGTATTACCACACACTGGCTTTATACTGTGAAATATAAATGCATTTAATGCTAGCCCATCGTGGTTGAAGCAGCTCATTGCTGTTGTATGTCCCCTGCTTTACCAAACCTTTTCAACCAATACAACTCTACATCTTCTGACCATAAACCATAATCACTACCTCTGTCTAACTAGCACAACTGTGCAATTCTTACATATTCCCAGCTTCTATTTGTGCAAAATATCACACCAGACACTTCTTATATTTTGTATAAAATGTGTGTGATTTTTATGAAATGCTAATAAAAAAACACACCAAAACCAGTCACATGTTTTGTACTGCTGTACTCCAAAATATTTTATCCTAGACAAAAAGACTGTCAATATTTCCAGATGATTAATTCTTCATTTCAAAACTTGTCTACCTGGAAAAATACTATTCTAATGACTGAAATAAAAGCAATGCTTTAACAGTAGTCTAGAAAACCTCCTTTACACAGTTTTACACTGCTTCTCTTAAGGCAAAATCTATGGCATATACCTTACCATACTTGTAGCTTTGATGTATACATTATCTTTCAAATGACAGTTTCCATCATGAGGAATTACAATTCCTGCTAATTTACTATCAAGGGCCAGATGGGAAGTTTGATCTGTCATCACAAGAAGCAATCGCTTTGCTTCTTTACGCCATCCAATGTGGCTCTAAAAAGAAAACAAAATTAGGCATAAGAAAGCAGTAACTACCTAGTTCTAAAATAATCAATAACAAAATGAAAAATTAATGTGAAAGTCTACTTTCAGGTATTACACTGCTTAGCAGCACTGAGTTTAAACCAGGCTGTGGGAAACATTTTTGTGGAAATAGATATAATGTTCTACATCTGAAAACTACCACTGCCAGTCAGAGATCCACTTACCACTGTTTTTTCCCACTTTGCTTTTTAAAGAAAGATCTTCCAAAATACATACAAGTTATGCATTATATAGTAGGCGTGGGTAAGAGCTTCCACATTGTGTGGGTTACTATTACATAGAAATGCAAATGTACAGCATTTGTAAAATTCCCTGGGATCCAAGAAAGCATTACAACCAGCAAATTTGCATTCATACATATTGATACTTGGTGCCCTCTCCTATTTTTACTTTGCACTTATTTACTTTATATTCTTAGCACTCTATAATTTCTTTTACCTACATAAGTTTCCAGAAAGGACATTAGCATATGATTAAAAATCAATAAACTGAAGTTTGGATGTCTTCATGCACCTGCAAATTGAGAAATTCCTTATTAGGCAGCAAAATACTACTTTTCTCCACTGTCTTAAGGGATTAATAGCAAAGTTGCACCCTCAAATGTGAATTTAATCTCTTTTAGGAATTTAGTGATAAGGAGGATGTAGCAGGGTAAGTATAAACTGATTTAGCTACCATATCCATATTTCCAAAACATTTATCTCCTTGCTTATAATCAAAGTACTGAGGCACACATGAAACACCTCTTATGCTTTTTCATAATTACCCATCTCAATTCTTCTATCTTACATTCTTCACTACTTACATTTTTCCTCCTTTTCCTCCTTCCTTGTTCCTCCTTCCTATGACACTATCTCATCTCTACCATTTACTGTAACACTTCCAAGGTGTCTCCCACCTCACATGAAATGTTTATCTGCAATACAGTCCATGTACTCAGACATGCTTCATGACTTATTCTCTACCTTCCTTGCTTTGCTTTGCAGAGTGATTTAGGTCCCTTCTCAGGCTCATTCCCTGCTAGCTCTGAATGGGGATTAAATATTTCTTACCAGCAAGGATAACAAGTACAGAGGGGTGTGGTGTCTTTTCCACCTCATGTGCTAGGCATCAGCCTCCCTCAGCCACTTCTAGAGAGCCTTCATCTAAAGAAGGGGTATTTTAAATTTTATTTATAGACAGGTTTTATCTTAAATAATTCCAAATTCTCCCCCAGCACTGCAGAAACTTCTTGCTCCTAACACTCCACCATTTGACTTTGTTACCTTGAGACTTTTAGTTTTCAGTAGTCCTGTGAGTAGGAGGGAGTTGGACTCGATCCTTATAGGTCTCTTCTGACTTGAGACATTCTATGATTCTATGACTTCTATCTACATATGTCACAGCAATCAAAATTTTAAAGTAGCTTCATGCCCTAACCTGCCAAGTCTTGTAACAGGGGATGTATTGGTTAAAGCAAGATGGAGCAAGTTATAAAGCTCTATTGTAGGCAAAATGAATGCACATTAATATAATTTATAGTTCATGATGGTCATTATGAATTGCACATTGTTCTCATCCATTTTGCTTCACAATTCAGTTAGCAGGAAAGCCTTCCTATTCTCATGAATGTTTCCATTCTATTGTTTTCAGAAGCATACATTATTCTAGAACTCACACGTCATAAGTGTGGAATGTGTCCAATGGGAAGCACTGGATTTTAAGGAATTTTTTTTAAGCTACACAATAATTTTTTTAAGTAGCTGGGATCACAGTGTCTATGAAGAGTGGCTTTTATTTACCTGCTTTACAGTTCATCAAAATCTGAAAATAAAATTGGACCATCTATTCATGTTTAGCTTAACTTGGATTACTTTTTGTCCTTGAGTCATTGTACTGGTCCAAAAAAATGATATGAAGATGAACAAGATAAAAGAATTGTCCAGACATCATTCCAAGAGATAAGACACCAAGCCTGTGATTTGAACAGGAGTTGGATTACTTTAGAAGGACTGAGAGAGTATCATATAGAGCATTACCAAACCCGTGAATCAGCCAACTTTCAAAATTTCCATTTCATTACTATGAAATAGAAGAAAAACAACATCCAAAATGGTTCTCTAGAGCAAAACAAACTCCCTTTATCAAGTACACTTATAGCTTGGGAACTACTGATCTTTTCCATCCTTTTCTGCATGGGAGAAACTGATGAAATTTTATCAATACATGGAAGCTAATTGTTAGCTGATTTGTACTGCTTTAAAATAAAAAATCTCTAAAAGTTCAGATAAATTGAAGTTCTGTTCTCCTTACAAGAAGATACGTAACTGTCCTTCAGTTCTCAAGTACATTCTTAAGTAGAAGACATGTCAAGGAGCACTTTAATGATTTTAGAAACTAATTATGTAATTGAGTGAAACTAATAGAAGCAAGTTCAAGCAAGAAGCAGTTGCTTTCATCCTCCATCCCACGTTGGCTGGTTAAAGCCAGAATTTGAAGATCAATAACCAACACTGAAACGTTCCCTTATGCCCTCCTTTGTCAGTTTCAATAGGAAATGTAAAACTAAGACAGAAATAAAGGAAAAGGAGGAAGAATCCTTAGAATGATTAGGCATAGAACTGACATTTTGAATTCATGAACACTGAGCACCATTATACCTATATGTGTCTGTATATATATATATATTGCCTGAACTACTATTTATTTATTTTTTTGTAAATAAGCTCCTTACCTGGCACACAGCTGCTTGGAGCATCGCATCAAAACCCCCTTCGGGTGTATCAATATTCCCAGAAATTTTTTGTTTATTCACTGCATTTCTGAATTCTGCTATATTGTCAGTCAGGGATAGCACATGAATATAACCGTGAGGAGGCATACAATCTAAATTGTAATCACTGTACAGAAACAAAACAAATCAAAAGTCTAACACATTCCTTATTTTCCATTTGAAGGAGATGAAATATTGCACCTTCATTAACGCATAAAATCCTGATATTAATGAAGATGTAGACATGCACTGGATAAGTAATACTTGAAAAAAGAGTAACTTCATGTGAGATTAATTTTAGTGGGAATTACTTCTAATACCAAGCTTAGTGGGAATTACTTCTAATTTACTACAAAAACATATTTTTTTATTTTATGGAATTTTATGGAAAATAAGAGTTAATATAGTAACAGTACATGTAGAGTGTTTCTGTAGAGAACAAAAAGAAATGCAACAAGAGTGATGGTATTATTTCAGGGAGTATATTTTGGAATATCTACAGTGGTACAGCTTTGCTTTTCATTAGCCTGAGAAAAGACCATCACACCACAACATTAAGATCCTTTAATAGTTTGACATGCAGGCTACTGGATCAAACTGTAATAAAATTTAAGTTCCTACATCCACTAATACTAAGTAATTGTACATAAAATTAATGTTGATATTAGTAACAGTTACCTCATTAAAGAGAAGTGAAACTCCATTTTCAGTAACATCATAGTTGTAAATGATACTTTTTCAAATTATGGTACTGATTTATGGCACAAGTTGAAGTGCTCATCTTATCCAGAGATGCTGAACAGCTTTCAACTCTCTTAACTTCTGTTGCCTACAGAGTAGGCATCCAGTCTGCAACCTACCCTCCTCCAACTCAGTTTGCAGTCAAGGAAGAGAAACTGGCACTGTAACGATTAATACCTCTGGAGATGTCTGCTCCTAAGCAAAATGAATCATGACCTAGAAATGCTAATCCATCTCCATCTATAGATGGTCTAGATGATTGCTTTTACATAAATATTCATATCTATTGAATAATTCCACTACTAGTACCCAATTCAAAAACCACTGAAACCAAAAAAGGTACTTCAGAGAACTTTGGATCATGTCTTTCCAGGAAGGATAATAACAAGCAAGAAAGTATGAAGAATTAATATTCACTTCTCCAAATATTATGGTTTACACAGCTTTGAATTTGCTGTGAATAATTTTGTACTCCAGGGGGTTTTGGAATTGATCCCTAACTTTACATAAGCGTTGAACACAAGGTATATAAGGCACATCATGAAAAAAGAAATGCAGGTCAGAACATCTTTCCTATTTAAAATGGGAGTTCATTGACATAGCAACTGTGGAATTAGACCAAAGGATCACTTTTGTTCATTAAATGAGCTGAAAGTAACCACACCATATTAACAAAAGTAGTTTAAAGAAAAGAGTTAATGAATACATGACCATACACCAGAAAGTACATAGGTCAGAAAGCACAAAACTTTGTGATGAATCTAGGCTAAATATATCCAAAAAAAACCAAAACCACAACAGTTGACTTTAAAATAAAGTGCAAAACATATTCAAATATTCAAAAGTAGCATTTTTTGGGGGCTTATTTTCCTAAAGAAAACACAGAACAGTTTTTCTGATATAGAAACAGTTTTCTCAAATCACTCGCCCAGTATTTCAGAAGTAATCACTGTACAGTAATTTTAGCATTTCCTTAGGAACTTTGTCAAAGAACCGTATGTATACAAAAACAAAGCCAGAACTTTAAAAATAAATACGCATAATGTATTTTGTGCAATTAAATAACACCTCAGTGCTACAGTAAATATAAAAAGACTACGTACCTGCATTGGTTATGGATTCTACCTGGATGAATGCTAATATAAGGTGACACAGTTTTATCCACATAGGATCCAAATCCAAGTCGAAAATCAAGAGAAATATTTGCCATTTTTTTAGATAAAGCAAATCCAACAGAATTTAACTTTTCTATATTGTTGTGCATGGAGGCTGAGACATCAACTAAATAATAAAGATCCACAGGGTATTTCTCTAGAGGACGAACTTTTAACATAAAGTTTGCTTCACTTCCTGATAAAAAAAAAAGTTCATTTACTATTTTTGAATGGACATGATTAAAAATAAATTTATATTTGTAGCAACCTCAGCACAAAGTTGTTTGTGTCAGCAAACAGAAAAACAAACAAACAAGAAAATCTCCCAAGAGTTAATGGAACCTTGAAGAATCATTCAAAAATAAGCCAAAAAGTGGTGTTTTGTAGAACATCTTGTTTTTATTTCTTGCAGGAGCACTGTGTGATTTATCTGTAAAAATCTGACTTCTCCCCATTATCTTTTAAATTCATGGTTATGCAATCCCTTTGGCATCATACCAAAGAGCAGTTATGGCTCACAAAGAACACAGATCTGCATACAAATTGGGGTCAGTCACTTCAAGGTTGACACTTCAAAGTATGTAAGTGTATCCTGCAAATAGTCTGTCATATGACAGAATCTAAAACTATGTATTAACCATAAAGATAGCACAGACTGAAAAACTCATGTAAATAATGCTTCAACTTTATCATAATCTACTTCTGAAGATTTAATGGGAAAATTCAGTATGATCAAAATATTTTTTTTTAAAAATAGGTTTTAATATAAGAAGAATTCCATCTCTTGGCATAAACAAAACAGAACTCTCATTTGAGGATGATAAATGTCTGTCTCTCCTGCAGAACCACAGCACATTCTCACATGTAATAAAAACATTAATGCTTTGGAAGCTGCTAAAACTAGTCCTAACATTTTTGCTTGTCTAATATTCTGTAATATCAGCAAGAAGAGTGAAGTGACTGGAATATAGGCCAAGTAGGTACAGTAATGCAGACTTCAAATTGGTCATTATTTTATGTCACCTGAAGTGTGAGCTCACAAAAGAAATAGTTTAGGATCTTCATGTGATCAGTGCAGAATCTAATTTCAGTATTATGCTATGAAGATACAGCAAAGGATAGGAGGAAGGAAGATGTTATAGAAGAACTATGCAGGTTTTCAATAAAAAACTATCAAAGAGCACATGTAACAAAGATCCGTCCTGGATCTTTACACAGCTTTTTCTTCCAGTACACAAAGTAATTTCTTCCTTTTTTTGCTATGTCTTTGAACATAATCCACCTGAAAAAGTCAAGCTTTGTCTGTATCAGGTCTTGTGTGAGGAAAACAATTTCAGTGTGCTGTAACTAATGCATTTCCTCTTTGCCAGTGTAAATCGAACTACTTTTTGTAAATTACTCTTGCAGGTCTCCAGTTTGTACATAGCGAGATACTGAATGCAGCTTTTATTTTTTCCCACATAAATCCTGAATGTTGGGCACACATAAACAGTGACAAAAAACCCCAAACAGTATTAAAAAAACCATTTTTGTTTGCATGATTATACTGTATCAAATGTCTGTTTTGAGGCAAAACTATAGCTGTATATCTGTGTATTTCCCTGGGGCAGAAAATATGGCCAAGATACCTATATATAAAAAGCTATTCTTCTGGAGCCCTTGGAATTTCAATCTTCTGCCTCCTTAATATAAGAACTTCTCGAAGGATATGGAACCCCAAATTTAGTTTCAATATTTACTTGCAAAAAGGTTAATGAAACCAAATTCTAGAAAGTAATTTTTTTTTCTATGAATCCAGTGTGCCTTTGGAAATAAATGTGATTACAGACAGAGCTAGAGCTAGCTCAGTGTCTGAGACCATTTCTCAGTAAAAAAGCAGAGTATCAAACACTTCTTTGGAAGGACAGTGGGGAAAGGCAAGAAAGTGCTGATGTTACTTTGTCAGTTTTATTATTATAAAGATTGAAAACCAGAGTTCCTTTGTGCTTTATACTCATGCAGATCCTTTTTCCCTTGTAATGGACAGAAAATTATCTTGTTTTCTCACTGACAAAATTATCAGTGAAAATCAGCAAGATAATTCTGACCACTTAATGTTTTCCTAACAAAGACTTATCCCTCTTAACTGTTTTTCTCCAATTACTGTCTGAAAAAAAAATGATATGAAAGATAACTCTGCATCCCTTGATATCATCTTCCACTTCTGCTGTTGGCTACAGCTATTTTAGAGACAGAAAACATACATCGACTTAACTAGAGTTCAGCTGAGGGCAAATTAAGCTATACTAGAAAATCTCAGATTCACAAACTTCTTTTAGGGCCAAGTGTCTCATATTTTATAAATTAAATGTTATGGACTGAATACCAAAGTCTTCTTTTGAAGTCCTTTCTTATATAATGGCAGTGGTGTCTCTGTAGCTGTCTAGTTAATGAACTTAAAAGTAATCAAATAATCAAGAAGTTTACAAAATTATTAATTTAGGAACTATAACTCAATTTATTTTCAGTGAGGAGTAGTTTATACACATGTAAGGGAAAACTGTTTGTGTAAGTCACTAAAGAAAAAGAATCAAGAAACTACATCAGAAAACAGAAGACTACTAAAATCCCTTCTCCACTTATTGCATTATTCTGACCTTCAGCTATGTTTAACAGAAACAGTTCTTACTGAAGACCATACTTCAATATAGGAGCAACACCATCACAGTCCTACAATATACGTTTTAGCACCATTCTTCAAAATAACTATTTGTGATGCTTCTTCACAAAATACCTGTACTTAAAAGTATTGTATTTAGTCTAAATTTACTATAATATCAGTGTGTTAGAGATGACCCAACCTGGACGCAGCTGGACTGAAACTTTTCCTGGTGTCACTTGTGTATTTGTTTCACGGTCACTGGGTATTGTGACATGAACTGTGGGGTTTTCAACCAAATCTGATCGGCAGCCTCTTTTCATTAAGTTGAAAACAATGTCACAGCGTCCCTTCTGTGTTGTGCCAGCCATGAAATCCTGTTTAATAAGAGACAAAAAGTACTAAACAGTCCGAGCTGAAGAAAACCCTGTAATATCTTCAAAGGAAAGAGAAAAACAAAATAATAGTCTTTGAAACAATAAAATATGCTACTATAATTGCAAAAATTGTAGAACAACTCCATGAAGCCATATGTTTTTAATAAGGGCAATGATGACATATTTAAATTAGAAGTTAAACCTAATTGCCACAATGATTTTTCTCTACAAAAGACAAAACTTTTTAAGAGAAACAGGATCTTGCACAATCAGAAGAAGCCAACTTTAGAGAAAAAGGAAACGACATACTGTCACTATGTCTCAAAAAAAAAAATACTGTGCCATGCTATGAGTTTGTAATAGTTAGAAAGTGTAATTTCCATGACATCAAAACAGGTTTGTTTTCAGAGGAATCCACTGGTAATGTTACTCAGGCTAATATTTAATAGTAGCACCAGAAGTCGGCTTTAGATTTAGCTAACCTGAGTTTGTCTATCACACTACACAAAATCCAAAGACCTCCTGGACTACACCATTTCAATTCCGAGAAAAATGAAACTTTGTATTACAGGACTGGACCGTTTAAGATGCCACCAACATGAAAAAGCCCTTTTAGCAACAGAAAAGTGATTAGTAGCAGGATGATCTCAGAAGCAGCCCATCCTTTTTTGTATTGAAAGGGCAAAGTTGCCAAAATTGTGCCAAAATGATCCAATACAAAATTCCTTCCTGATCACAAATCTGATGATTAACATGATTCTGACCATGAAAAAAAAAAAAAAAAAAAAAGACAAGATCCTTTGTATTCTTTCAAAGTACTGGTCCATCTGAGCCACAGTTGGAGACCAAACAACGGACAATCTCTGATATTTCAGAGGCAAATGGGTAAAATAAATAATCAAAAAGTGCCTACAACCAATTCTATGTAGATAATAAATAGTCATCCAGGCCCTGAAAAGACCAGAGGAAGGCCCTGAAGAATGAGATTTGACAGTCACCTATCTTGTTTTTCAAGTTCCAGTTCTAGTCTACCTCTGATATATTTTTTCCATAGTCTTCTTTATTGTAGAAAACAGAGACTATTTTTTAGGTTAGTGCTATTTATATACCCTTTTTGACATATATACATTTCAAAAAAGTAGATTTTTAAATGTATAAAGAATTTAGCTACTCTCATGCTGATAGACTTGCAGCATTTTCTGAAATCCACTGTGTGTGAGTATAAATTCAATGCATCTCAAGGGTTACTCGGGCCTTATTTTCTCACTAAAAATATTGTTCAGATGAAGCAAGCATGCTAAGCTGAAAACTGCTCCTGTAACTATACGCTGGAATATTTCTGTCTGCATTAATAAGGGTTTTGCCATTCCACAACCATAAATGCTATGTAGGTGAACTGGCTGTCCAAGAAGTTTTAATAAAGCCCTGGCTTCATGACCAGCTCTCAGGATTGATTCAAGAAGCTAAGCAAGAGAAGCAAAGCAGAATTGAAACCTGGTCAAATCTGTGCACCTAGTCAGAAGCAGACCTATTGCAGCTCCATAGCATTGGAAAGTTAGCAAATGCTATTCTGTGATAAATGCAGAGGGAGGAGGATAAAACTTTGCCCTTTGTAAGACAGGACATGAGGCCACAATAATGAACCCCTCCACATTGTAATCCTTTGTGCCATCTACACGTGCCCTAAGGTTCCTCTTGGAAAACAAGCCCTCAAGCTTCTACTTATCCTTGCATTACTTATCGTTATACCTGCTGCAGATTAAGTTATTAATTTCAAGACACAATATCTCAGATAAAGTTACACAGTGCCTTATGCCTTACACTCCTTATCTCCTCCAGACACACCCTAGGAACTTCCCTAACTTCTCTGCTAACCTGAAAGCTACTACCGATAATTTGCACGTGACCTTAAAGAGCATATGAGCTTGCAATTGTCAGTAATATTCTTCAAAACCTTTCTCCTCTGAAGTACTTTAAAATGGTCCAGCCTTATCTGAATCATGCTATCAAGTGGGTTTTTTTTTCTGTCAAACAACACCAGAAATTTCCATATTCTTACACTTTGCAAAGCAACAACAATTTCAGAATACTTCTTGCTACCTAAGATCTATCTTCGGTGTCAAGTCTCAGAACTGATAGTTTCAAGTGTCAAAATAAGAGAAGCATCATTTTTTCCATTTGTGACGGGGTCATAATACATGGTGAAGGCAAAGTCAACTCCACTGTTAGTACAACCTTTTGCTAAATGCAGTAGACATATGTATAGACTTGTTTTCATAACCAGTGAGGACTTATTATAGATTACTGATAAGCAATTTTCCTTTTGAAGCCAAAAACTGTTGAACTCTCAAAGCTACTGTAAGCCTGCCAGAGCTGCCTACAAAGCAGATGGAATGCATTAAAAAGTTCTCACTTTATTTAAAATTACTGCAATTTTCCAAATAAAAGATTGCATTTTCTCCTTTGGAAATAAAATGTATTTCACATGATTTCTCAGGTTCTGTCTCTAGGGGTCATTTAGAAATTTTCTTGCTATTTCTCACTATAATTTTCTCAGTTTAAAAGTCTTTATTTTTATAAAGATCAGAAGCAACTAAAATATAAAGTCAAATGTACGTAACCAAAGTAACATACCTCTTGAGCACACCATCCACACTCAGGGCCCAAAGCAAGACACTTTGTGCATGTCACTGCATTTGAAGTGGCACATCTGTTTTCCGCTGCAATGAAATACAAACCCAAATGTTAATGATTTATGATGATACGTGAAATTGTAAAATACGTAATTCTAAACCAAGATTTCAAAAATTACTTCACCAGATTTGGAGTGATGACAATACATTCAAACAGAAGTAAAACAGAGCAAAGACAGCCTGGTAAGGGAGTACTCACAGCAATTTTTTTTTTTTTTTTTTATCTACAGTCTAGAACTATATGCACAGATCAAATAAACTACATTCTCAAGGCCAAGATCCTGATTTAGAACAATTCTGAAGTGAAAGTTTATCTTTGGGATATATCTTGTTGATTTACTGCCTAACAGGAAAAAATTTACCAGGTAGCTTATCTTTACATAGACATTTTCCTTTTAAGTCATTTATGTTTGACTGAATTATGCATTATTCACTTCTCATGGAACCCAAAATATTTTCTCACCTTCTATAAATATTCTCCCTCTCCATTTTCTGGAATGAATAGTTTCCCAGAAGAGGAAGATTTTTTTTTTCCAGAAGCAAATACAAATGTATCCAACATTACATGTGTCACAGATTGAAGACACATCATTCTGTACTAACAATTGCAAAACGTGTGCCTACTTGCATGTCTACCAGCAAAGTCCTTCATACCCTTTTCACATCTTTGTTTTATAGATCATTGCTCAAGTTACTATTCTTTCCTATTGAAACTTTGGCAGTCAGTATGGAGAAGAAAAGAGTTTCTTCAAGGGATTTGGTCAGCTCAGCTTGAATGTCAGCAGTAATGTATCCTTTCAGCACACTGATCACAAGTCTCCTGTAGACCAAGGCACCTCTAAACAAGGTAGGAGTAACCTGCTAAGAGTTATATGTAAGGCACAAAATAGGACTCTTCAGTGCACGGCACAGCAGTAGTTCTGTTTAATAACACTGCTTTGTGGCATGCCATATTAGAAAATATACTTGGAACAAAATAAAATTAATTTCTGCATACAAAAGGCTACATCTGTTAACTGGTCCACTGTGATAATGTGTGTATCATCATATCAAAACAGTTTGATGAAAGGTTTAGTTTTCATCCAAAGTTCTGGCTACATGCATGTACTGTCTCTCAGATTGTTTCTTTCCAACCTGCAATAATAACAATGCAAATAATCTCTCTTTTAGACTAATGAGAGCAACTTCTCACAAAGAAAAGATGTATTAGGAACTAAAATATATCTTTTTTTTTTTAATCTTTCCTTAGTTGATTCCAGCCATGGATTCAGAGATGAGATCCTGTATCACATAAACAGCTAGTCCTCAAGATGTCACTTAGAATGACTGCTGATCCAAGGGACTAGTCACAGCTTGCAAGTTACTATTATCAACAGCATATATACCATTATCAGTATTAACAAGCCTAGTATAGCCCAATTGCAGCATTATACCGATAACATATAGGCTAGTGACAATTTAAATAATTTCAAAGGTCAGACCTATATTTCAATTTCATATCAACTGCTGCTAACAATTTTTGCCATACAGGCAACATGAGAAAAAAATGTAAATGAAAGTAAGAGATATAGGCATGATATAAACAGCAAGTTGAAAAGCATCCCAGGAAAGTGCTAGAACATAGGGAAAACTGATTTAAGGGTGGGAGAGGTGGGTGGGGATAAATAAAGGAGGAGTTGCTAAAGAGAGAGAAAAGAACAAGATAAAATCCAAAAGGTTTTTGTTTGGTTATTTGGCTATAGAAACAAACACAGTAAGTTTCACTTGTCTGTGAAATGAGAGCAACCTCATTTGCCATTGACACAATAAAATTTTTTTCACTTATAAGAAGATGGCAACTGCACTTCATGTTCTGCAATCCGAAAGAGTACACCTGGAGGCCATAGAAAATGTTACCACATACTACATAAGAGGAAAAGGGTAAAGATTTCAGGTAGGTACTGACATGCACAGGGTTGTACAGCTTGCCACATATTCCCTTCTATACAGTATTAATAATGTGCAAAGACACAGAGTGAAAAGTTGTTGAAGGAGTAAAAATAAAAGGAATGTAATTGTTCTTGGCACACAAACATCGCTCCCATCTTCAACTGGATATCAAAGACAGCAGAGGTGAAAAACATTACAAGAAAAAGCGAGCAAAGTGATAGATTCAGTAGAAGTGTCAAAGGACAAGATAAAAGTTGATGAGCAGCAGCCTAACAGTGGCTAAAGATGACCATGGGGCAAAACAGGGAGAATATGACTTGAACTTTGAAGTTACCCAGTCAGCATTCACTATAACAGACAGAGCTGTTTTGATAAGAATAAATAGTTGGCAGGAAAAAATGAGAGACCTGTGTTTCTTGCTATACAGATAAGAAATAAGTAAAATTAATTTGTCATCTTTGTAATCAGTCAATCAAAGCCAAAATAATAAGTATGGCCTAATTAATTTCCTGCAAAAATATCTGAGACTCCTTTCTTAAAATATGTGATCCTATCTGCGAAACACACACTTTAATTTAAATGCCATTGGCCTGTAACAACACATTACCATGTAACATGCACTTGCTAAAAAAACCTCAACAGTATATGTCTATTGCTATATTTACAAATGCATTGGAAAACTGATTGAAAAATAATTATCCTATTTTCTTTTTCTGTATTGTTAGTTTATTGAATCTATTGAAACTTGATTTAGTTTACTAATACAGCCTGTCTGGTAAAATACAGGGGTGTCTGTGTGCCTTTGTAAACTGCTAAGTGGAAGAAGAGAACTTAAAATCCAGTTTGGGTTTTCAGTGTGATCATGGCAGATGAAATGGTTTAACAAATGAGATATACAGTACTGCTGGATGCAAATCTCTTTGCTGATAACTATCCAGTCTCAAGAGCTCCATTTTCACAACATGAAGTCACGGATTGGCAATTGACAAGCTTGGTACCATTGACTCAAAAAGCTGGAGTTTTTTAAAAAGAGAAACTTAAAAAAGTTTTATTAATTTCTTTTTTATTATTATTATTCTGGCTACATCACTACTGTGGTTCCCAAGTACATAGACCCTTACAGCAGTAACATTTATGAATATGCTTTCATTCACCAAATATTTATTATTTACTTGTAAGCTTACTCTAAAACCATAACTGATTTAGTATAAACTTCTCAGCTTCCTTTAAAAAAGCATGCTAAAGCAAGAAACATTTTTTTATGAGTTGGCTCAAAAAAGAACTGAGATTTTTCCTGCCACTTCACCAAAAACAGAGTCCAGACAAGACTGAGTTACTGTTCAGCCAAAGCTAAGGGCAAGTTTCTACTGGCTTAGTTATAACTGATGTATGCCAAAAGGTATTTTCGACAAGGGCCAAACTCTGTGCTGGGAATTGCACAGGCATATGCATATAAAAAGAAGTGAGTGCATCAGGTTAAAATATGCTTTTCCAGCCTCCTCCAGAAAAATAGAACTGTGCTCCAGTGACTGCAACTATTTACAGTGATTACAGGTGTGGCAAGTCTAAACTATCTGGAACAAGAGGGATCAAGGCAAGACAAAAATCACGTATGTTATAATCATATCCTGACTCCTTATAATGACAATAACTTTATCACAATCAGGGTACTTATCTCAGAGACGGAATAACAATAATGTACACTGGCATTTGAGAGGGGATGTATAACAGGTTTTCAAACAGACAGCACTTCGTTCAAGTACAGTCAAGAATTTGGATTTATATCAACTTCACTGTTGGTACACGTTTGTGCTGGTTTTGGAGGCTGTACCATTTGCTTTCTTAAAAGAGAAAGCCAAAATATAACTAGCAGCTTATACTCCTTGATCACTCTCCTCAGACTGTTGAACATTTGTTAAAGCAAGAAAATATGAAATTATCCAGCCCCTACAGAGCTGTTTCTAATTAAATTCTGCATCCAGTCTTGTTCTAGGGCAGCAATTAGCCAGGTTGTCCTTCTCCACAGATAACAAGGCCTTCAGTAACTCACATGTAGCATCATCTATGAGGAAAGCTGCAGCTTTTATGCAGTATACTGCAGCTACCTTCACCTTTGTGTCTTCAAGGAGCAAAGCAATGGGACTCCTGGAGAGGGGACAGACAGTGACTGTCCCAGCTAACACATGGCTTCCCAGTACACTTTTTGCTGAATGTGCAGGTACAACGAAAAGCATTATAAAAATGCTAGAGAAGAGGGATTATTTTTCCATGATTATTGTGTCTGACAGTTACTTTCTCACCTTACAAGGAAAAAATGAGTGCCTGTGCTTCGCTGCCAACCCTAAAACCTAATCCTGAAATTAGGGATTTCCCCCCCCCTTTTTTTTTTCCAAACAAGCAATAATTCTCTCTAACCCTTTGTGCCATGCTTTAAAAGCACACTATGTCACCACCAGATTTGCCAAGAAGATTACAAGGTATGCCTCAAAACCAGCTTTAAGAGGTACTTATCCTTGCCCAGAAAAGGAGATTTCAGCTTGAATACTGTACAGTTATTATGCTTTATAATAAAATCCTAAGATTACTTGAGCAAAAATACCACACAACTTTTCTTCCCTTTCCCTTTTTTTGTTTTATTACATATGGGCTTTGTTAATTAGTTTCATTTCTCTATTAATGGTTGTGCACTTAAGTTTCGCTATTCAGACAGAACCTAAGCTGAAAGGTGATTTGAAAATGGTTTTTTAACAGCAAGAGAAGCAGCAGTAAACTAAAACTTTGCATGGAAGAGACAAGTTTCTGCTAAGCAAATGAAGATGTCTTAAAAAAAAAAAGGTGTAAAATATGATTGGCACTCTTTAATTCTGAGCACTGGAAAAATACTTCTGTAAACCTGGCAAGTGAGTAAATGTACCTTTCCATTAAAGCAAACAAGCAAAGAAAAAACCCCACAAAAAACACAATCAAATGAAAAAATAAACAACTATTACAGTGTTCCTAAAAAGAAAAATGGAGTATATTGGAAGAGATAAACCATAATGTGGTTTCAGAGAAGGTAAGAGGTAGAAGTGAGACATAAATAAAGACAAATGCAGAGA